TCATTGGCTCTAAACGCACATGCATAGACATAATTTACGATGCGCCGTTTGTTAGCACTCACATTTAGCTATCATGCGAAGCTGATAATGTTGCAGTAGATCATCACCAGCCGTGATTATGTGATCGAGTGTTTCCCTAAAAGACATTAATCGTTCTGGATTGGTATCATTGCGAAAACGAATCAAGCAAAGAGTGGACTAGCAATCGTCCATGAAAAGTAACATTTATTTATGAGTTTTTAAGGATGACAGTAAAGAGGAGATTGTATGATGTAGTGGGAAATAGAGTTGAATTTATATGGGCGATCATGTCAAATGCACTCGAGTACAAGTGCATTCAGCTCGATTTCGCATGCTGCATTTCGAAGAATTGAACTGCACTGCACATATCATTTTATGGCACAATTTAAATGGTGCAATACTGCTGATTAGTAGGTACAAGGCGACACAGTCATCACTCGTACCAGTTCGTATTGCCTAAAGTGCATTCGTCGAGTCGCGCGATGATCGATGATGCTTTACATGCATCCTCCTCCCAACTCTGAACTGATTCACGTCCATCCATTCTTATACCATGATCAACCCCAGTCTTAGTCATGGCTCTCGATCCCATCCCTCAGACACAGTCACTTTTTATCATCATCTTTCATATCCAACTAAACGTCGTCATCATTTAATTCACCCATTCAAATTCGCTATTAATGGTATTCGAGAACGCGTTCAACTTGACATCTCTCCCTCACTATCAATTCATTCACTGATCTCAAAGGTGTTTCATATTAAATGCAATAATTTCATGCTTTTTAACGAGTGAATTTGCCGTGATGCAGCAGTGTGTTCGATTGGTGAAATCGAGAACGAATGCATCGAAATTATGGAAGGCAGATTTCTTTTTGTGTGATAAGAAGTTGAGCGAAATTAATCATTCGGTGAAATTGTAGAACAAAAAACAGGAGTTGTACTGCGAGTGAGGCAGTTATAAATTTTGCTGAGCACTCTTCGTTGCTTAGAACAGTG